GGGTATATAGGGCTTCTATAAGGCTATAAGGCTTCCATAAGGTATATAGACGTTCTATAAGGCTCCTATAACGGTAACTACCCACCTGAAAATGTCCTAGATCAAACTGAGAAACACACATGACCTCAGGCATTTTCATGGAGTTCATAACTCATACATTATAAGCGGGGCCCAAAGCCCTACTGTAGGGGCCTTAATACTTACAATAGGGTTTTGGGCTCCTTTATAGTATAATTATCAGAAGAAGCCCTAAGGAATAATATAGGTAATTACTTGGGCTTCCAGAATTAAAACCCCTAAACCCTAAACCCTAAACCCTAAACCCTAAACCCTAAACCCTAACCCTAAAGCAACCCGAGAAAGCAGAAGCGAAGTTCTTGGAGACCCAAGGTTGCCCTCAAGCCCTAAACCCCTGAACCGCTCAACCCCAAACCCCGAAAACCTAAGGCCAGAACCCCTTTAGGGTTTAGGGTTTAGGGTTTAGGGTTTAGGGTTTAGGGTTTAGGGTTTAGGGTAAAACCTAAACTACACCGCGAAACCCTAAGCCCTCTAAGGACATGTTCACGTGCAAGTGTTCGCCTAAGCCCTCTAAAAACCCTCATGACATAGCCCAGCATGGCCAGGGGAGGGGCAGCAGGGCGGCGTTCATCTTCTTCACGTCCACGGGCACCTCCCGACGTCATCTTGAAACCCTAAACCCTAAACCCTAAACACTAAACCCGGAGGAATCTTCAGCTCGTCTCTGTGTTAAGGCGACAAGTGTGAGAGTCGTGGGGGGGGGGCCTAAATTTTGCGGAGTTCGTTCCGAGCTTCGGCCTATGTTTTTCGAACTTAAACCTCCCAAATCCTAAACCCTAAACCCTAAACCCTAAACCCGAACCCTAAACCCTAAACAGCGAGGTTGCTGGAATGAGACCACGCACTTGGAATTTTCGGGTCTCCGGCGCTGCTATCGCGGATGGGGGCCTTCCGGTTCTGGACTCCAAATTGCGGGCTTCGAAGTTTTAGGGTTTAGGGTTTAGGGTTTAGGGTTTAGGGTCTAGCGGCTTAAGGTTTAGAGGTCTATATGGGGCTTAGGGATATCAACCTTCAAGCATGCCACCTATGAACAAGCGTTGCAGTGGAACTCCTGTAATCCTACCATGTGGGGGTTTCCGGAAATAGGGGACCCTAATATAGGCCTAATATAGCACCCCAAATAATAGGATCCTTATTATAAGGACCCCAAAATAAGGTACCCCTAATCTTCGGAAACTCCCATGTAATTCAAGACCCCCATAAACACGTAGCTTAGGCTTTCCGGGCTCAGACAGCTTACAGGGCCTAGGGGTTTAGGGTTTAGGGTTTAGGGTTTAAACCCTGGACCCCTGAACCCCCAAACCCCGAACACTTCCCCCAGAGCCTTCCCCACACTCTGCGCGGCGTCCGTGTGAAACAGCACCTGGCAGCGCTCGCTGGGGGAACAAACGCCGGTTCAGAGAACGCTTAGTGTGTAGGGTTTTCCTGTTCAGGGTGCATGAGGTGTATGCAGGCTTTTATCCTAAACCCGATAAACCCGAAACCCGAAACCC